TATGTCGTCTAAGTATACAACACACGTTTTGTTTATGAAATCTCGTAGAATTTCGTTCATAAGACGTTAAAAGGTTGCAGGTGCATTCTTTAACCCAAATGGCATCCTTGTAAATTCATACAGACTATGAGGTGTAACGAACGCAGTTTTGCACCTGTCATCCTCTTTAATTGTAATTTGATAATATCCCTTAGCAAGATCTAATGTAGTGAAGTATTGGGCGCGTCCCAATTTATCTAATATTGAATCAATGTTAGGCAAGTGATATTTATCATCGATTGGTACCTCGTTCAATTTTCTGTAATCCACTACTATTCTGTACTTTATTTTTCCTGAGTTATACATTTTCTTTGGGATTACTATTAAGTATCCAGTATCTGGAATTACTTTTTCTTATAATACCTTGCTCCTCCATCTCTTTAATTTGTCTACGAACTTCCTCTTCATATTGACGTGGATACCTGTATAATTTCGAGTTTATTTACTCGTCCGTAGTGGTCCTAATCATGTTGTATTTCTGTAGTGCTCGTTAACTTTTCACCCTCTTTAAATAATAGTTTTTCAAAAGTTTTTAGTAGTTTGGCTACTTCTTTATACTCTTCTGCATTTAAGTGCTCTAATTGTATTCCTTTAATTTTGTCTTTTGTCGTTTCTAACGCACAAATTTCTTTAAAATTAAAAGGGTTATTTAAAAGTTTTGTTTCTTTTTCATTTAAGGTTATTTTTCCATCGATCAGATTCATCATGGTGTTCAAATACNTCGATCAGATTCATCACGGTGTTCAAATACTTTAATAAGTCAATACCTATTATAAAATTGTATTTTCTACCTCTTAGTGGTGTTGATTTCCATTTTATATACGCATTATCAGGTAAATTAAATTCCTTTGGTGCTCTAGTATGCACTTCATGACAAATTTTCTCCTTACTTGTTACTGTGCTGATTATTATTTCGTCTTTAAGGGGTATTTTCCGAAAAANCATGACAAATTTTCTCCTTACTTGTTACTGTGCTGATTATTATTTCGTCTCAAATACCCCTTTATTTGCCGAAAATCATTTAGTTCAGCGTCTACTAAACTTATGTTTGCCCCTGTATCCACTAAAGCAATGTACTTTTTTCATCATTGGTTATTTCTATTCTAGTTAGCCCGTCCGAGGCTTCCTTATAAAAAAATTGCGTTATTTACTTTTTATATTCTTCAGATTCTCTGTTGCTTTGCCTAGGCGATTGCAAGCGATTTTGACTGCTACTGCTGCTGGGGTGTCCTGCTGCTCGAGATCTTTCTTGATCAGTTTCTACATTATCTACCTCCATGGGTTCTTCTTTATCTAGCCTAAGTTGGTTAGAATTATTGCTTTTTCTCCCTTGACCTGAGTAATTGTCCCTATAGGTTTGGTTCCTTTGCCCCGAATTATTGTCCCTGTTTCCTTTATTTACATAATTCTGTCTAACTTGTCCCGAATTATTTTCAGGGCTTCTTTTATAGTTGGAAAAGTACTGGCAATTTTGTTTAAATTGGCCAGATTTATTCTCCCTGTTTAGAAATTTTTCATTTTGCTTATTTTCGNAGGGCTTCTTTTATAGTTGGAAAAGTACTGGCAATTTTGTTTAAATTGGCAAGATTTATTCTCCCTGTTTAGAAATTTTTCATTTTGCTTATTTTCGTAATAACCTTTATTATTTTTATACTGTCCGTCAGTTTTTCTAAATTTTTTAAATTCTGATCGTATGCATGTATCCTCGAATCTTCTCTTTGTCATTATGTCTATAATTTTATGAAGGTCTTGTTTTTCATAGATTTTGTCTGGAGGGTCTGGTCAACTCCTGAGTTGGCTACAGATTCGCATGATTATTTTTGGGAATTATCAGTAATTAAACCGTATTTCCGTATCACTATCCTAACCGCACTTGCTGGGCAGGATTACCGACTGCGCCAGTTTCACCCTGGAAACTTTGGAAATTTGTTTTCTTTTTAATTTTCAATTACTCTTTTTGTGTACAATTTTACCAATAGGCCGGAAGTGGTTTTATGATACTGCTTTGNATTAAATTCCTTTGGTGCTCTAGTATGCACTTCATGACAAATTTTCTCCTTACTTGTTACTGTGCTGATTATTATTTCGTCTCAAATACCCCTTTATTTGCCGAAAATCATTTAGTTCAGCGTCTACTAAACTTATGTTTGCCCCTGTATCCACTAAAGCAATGTACTTTTTTCATCATTGGTTATTTCTATTCTAGTTAGCCCGTCCGAGGCTTCCTTATAAAAAAATTGCGTTATTTACTTTTTATATTCTTCAGATTCTCTGTTGCTTTGCCTAGGCGATTGCAAGCGATTTTGACTGCTACTGCTGCTGGGGTGTCCTGCTGCTCGAGATCTTTCTTGATCAGTTTCTACATTATCTACCTCCATGGGTTCTTCTTTATCTAGCCTAAGTTGGTTAGAATTATTGCTTTTTCTCCCTTGACCTGAGTAATTGTCCCTATAGGTTTGGTTCCTTTGCCCCGAATTATTGTCCCTGTTTCCTTTATTTACATAATTCTGTCTAACTTGTCCCGAATTATTTTCAGGGCTTCTTTTATAGTTGGAAAAGTACTGGCAATTTTGTTTAAATTGGCCAGATTTATTCTCCCTGTTTAGAAATTTTTCATTTTGCTTATTTTCATAATAACCTTTATTATTTTTATACTGTCCGTCAGTTTTTCTAAATTTTTTAAATTCTGATCGTATGCATGTATCCTCGAATCTTCTCTTTGTCATTATGTCTATAATTTTATGAAGGTCTTGTTTTTCATAGATTTTGTCTGGAGGGTCTGGTCAACTCCTGAGTTGGCTACAGATTCGCATGATTATTTTTGGGAATTATCAGTAATTAAACCGTATTTCCGTATCACTATCCTAACCGCACTTGCTGGGCAGGATTACCGACTGCGCCAGTTTCACCCTGGAAACTTTGGAAATTTGTTTTCTTTTTAATTTTCAATTACTCTTTTTGTGTACAATTTTACCAATAGGCCGGAAGTGGTTTTATGATACTGCTTTGTTTATTTGCTTTAAAAATTCTTCATATTTGTCAGTTGCACCGTCAGGTGTTTTTGCATAATTATTTACATATATGTAACTCGCGTGTTTCACCCATATACGAACAGCGGTAGCGGAGCAATGATTTCCACGCACGCAGTCTCATTCAGTGATCGGACTCAAAAATTCTGTGTGGTAGAATCTGGAAAAAATGTGGTAGATCTCAGGTTTTGGATCAAACTTTGTACAAAAATTAAAAAAATTCCCTAAGGCTTCCCTTAACTTGCAAAGGTTTTAATTAGACTTTAAAAAAATTAATTTTAGTATATTAAAGTGCAAGATTGAAGTTGCCAAAAATTTCGTCGAGTTTTGGCAATTTTTTTCCTTGACAGTGTAAAGCTTCCATATCAAGATATTTTTCGAACATATTTTGCAACCTTGCGGAGTGCTGCCAGTTTTTCTTTTTATCACATCACGATGTAGCGAACAAAGGTGGCACGTTACAGAAACCGATACTTGGGCTTTGCCGATTTTGACAATTCTCAAGTTNTGGCACGTTACAGAAACCGCTACTTGGGATTTGCCGATTTTGACAATTCTGAAGTTAAAGTAAACAACGCCTCAGAAATCTTAGATGCACTGAAATTTGCTAATACTTTCACAAAAATCGCCGTTTTTTTTAACATTTTCGCTATTAATTCTTTTTATAAATCATAATGTATTTTGCAATTTAACATAATAAAACCGCGTTTCCTGTCGAAAAATTTTATTATTGAGAAAATTTACTATTTTACAGTTTATTCTATCCTCCAATTGGCGGTTTGTTTACTTTTACTTGAGAAATTTCATCGCCGCCGGGGATGCGGAATCTTGTATTATATTATTCTTGTTACCATATAGTGTTTAGTGCTGGACAATTTTTGCTCCTAATATTAAGAAAATTATGTCGAGGAAAAATAAAACTAGGTACACAATAACGCGAATATATGGTAGATTTCAGACTTTATGTGGTAGATGCTCTAAAAATTGGCAGATCTACCACAATGTGGTAGAAGTCCGATCACTGGTCTCATTCATTGAATCGTTTTTATGCAATGGTCGGCATTCTAGCGCATTCAAACGATTCAATAAGTGGGACTGTGCATTGCTAAGCTGGCGCTGCCGGTGAAACATACATGTGCTCAGAGAGCGCTCAGCATTATTTAGGGGTGGCTCACAAGCATGAATATGTTCCGCTCTCAAACCAAATCGTGGTTGCCTCAACTAAGATTTGGTAACTATGACTAAACCATGTGTTGAAAGGAAGCTTATCTGTATTAGCAGAGCGTAATGACATCCTTTTATGAACCATACGTTAAGTTGAATGGAATTTGTAGAAATATGCTTCAAAAAAATACTTATTAGTATTTACCGAACCCTTCAACTAAATTAACGATTTGGTACAATCTAGATGAAAATTAGAAGCTTTAATATATTTAGTTACAATTACCAACCCATTATTATTACCCCATATTACCCCCAATCCTTGGTAACAGTTCCCAAATATTGTCAAAATTCCGTAACTAAATATCTTTAATTGTCGAAACTAATCCTTTTTCTCAGTGCATGCATTTGCTTTATTGTATAGTTTAAGGCAGGCTCTTCCTAAACTATGTATTTGTCAATGTTATTGTGGCTTATTAAAATTTTATTTTTAATATTGTTATTGAGCTTTGTACCACGATTGAGTTTGTTGCTTTTCCCATTTTTCCTAATAAACACAATCGTGGTACAAAGCTCAATAACAATAATAAAAATAAAATATAACCCTTTTATCAAGAATAAATATAAATATAAAAAATTATATGCATATGGATGTTGTACCCGTTATAATGGAGGCAAATTCATCGATTTATAAATGGTATTGAAAAATGAATTTTAATTAAATTTTTTTCGAAAAATTTAAGAAATAAGCTTTTATTTCGCTTTTGTTAGGATGCATATGCCGAACCAGGCCAGGATAGCCGAAATATAGCAGGCCTCGAACTCGTAGTAATTGTACAAGACGTACAAGATCAACCACCAGTGTTTAATTCAGCTTCCCCGGTGACGAAATTACCCGGAGGTATTCTTCCAGGAGATAAGGTAAGTTAATGTGCATAAATATGCACAAACCTTTTTTTATATTACTAGATTGTTCGCCCAGTGTGCGTAAATATTTAATTGAAAGAAATTAATGTTTTTTCCGTTAAATACATACATAGTTCAATTGACTATAGATTTTTGTCGTCAACTCCCTTTCTGTCGTGATATAGTATACTATACTAGTTAACGTTAATACCTAAATTATCCGAGCTGAACCTATCTGCAAACGTTTTGTATGTATATACTCATTTTATTACAACGCTTTTATCAACTTACAATGTTTTATGTCCAGACGCCTATTATAGCTACGGTGTCCATATTTATGGGAGCCGAATCCGGGCAAAAAATAATTTTGCAAATTTTTTCCACAAAAAATAACTGATCTTAAAGACTTCTTCAACGCTCCTAGATGTATTAGCCTTGAAACAGAATCCTTGTAGTAATATCACCAATTTGTAGGAAACTTTCCAAGAGATTTTTACCCCGCAAAATTTGTTAAAAAAAAATCTTAGATTTTAGTATAATAAAGTGCGATTTTGAAACCACTAAGACTTACCGTTAGGGATGAAACGATACGAGTAAATACAAGTGCATACTCGATACTTTTCGTTCGATACCAAGTAATTTTGGGCTCGATACTTTTGAACCAAGTAATGAAAAGGTATCGAAAAAAGTACTCGTATCGAAACCCGATACCAAATAAATTTTGCTCCGAAATTTTTTCCTCTACGTTTATGCCTAATGTGAATCGTGCTGTGCTTTGTGGCAACTTAATTGCCAGCGAGAAGACGCGAAAGTCGACAGAGTGCAAAGTATACACGATCCATTGCTTCACCAAAGTCAAGGGTTTGCAACGTTTACACGGTCAATTGTTCGAGNGATACGAGTAAATACAAGTGCATACTCGATACTTTTCGTTCGATACCAAGTAATTTTGGGCTCGATACTTTTGAACCAAGTAATGAAAAGGTATCGAAAAAAAGTACTCGTATCGAAACCCGATACCAAATAAATTTTGCTCCGAAATTTTTTCCTCTACGTTTATGCCTAATTTGAATCGTGCTGTGCTTTGTGGCAACTTAATTGCCAGCGAAAGCCGCGAGAAGACGCGAAAGTCGACATAGTGCAAAGTATACACGATCCATTGCTTCACCAAAGTCAAGGGTTTGCAACGTTTACACGGTCAATTGTTCGAATGGAAGTGTGAAGTGGTTGAATGTCCAGTACAGACGTTTTAACGCGATGTAAAAGTCATTGTAAATATTAGCGGGCAATAATAAAGGTAGGGGCAAATATCTATGTTATTGAAGGAAAGAAATGAAGAACAAGAGTTGTTTCAAAATATAAAAAAAAATCTTAGAAAACCCTAAAATATTAAACGTATCCCAAGCCTAAAAAATTTAAACGCAATCTTCGAATCTAGACTGTAGAAAATATATATGTGTCGGAATAGCGTCGGCTGCTTCAGTAGTAATATCCTCTATGGGAATATCTCTGATGGTTTTGCCAGGATTTTGGTTCTTATGCAATTTTCGTAAATGTTCATGTGAATATTTGCACGTTCTTTTACTCGTCAATGATTTCAAAATATATCTGTTTCCGTCTAAAACCTCTGTCACCAAAAATGGGNATATTAGCGGGCAATAATAAAGGTAGGGGCAAATATCTATGTTATTGAAGAAAAGAAATGAGGAAAAAGAGTTGTTTCAAAATATAAAAAAAATTCTTAGAAAACCCTAAAATATTAAACGTATCCCAAGCCCAAAAAATTTAAACGCAATCTTCGAATCTAGACTGTAGAAAATATATATGTGTCGGAATAGCGTCGGCTGCTTCAGTAGTAATATCCTCTATAGGAATATCTCTGATGGTTTTGCCAGGATTTTGGTTCTTATGCATTTCCCTTTTAGTTAACAGCAGAAGCTTAATGAGTTCCTGAATGATGTGTTCTGTTCGCAGTATGTAATTCAATTAATAAATCCCGCCACAATTCTACTGATTTTATATGATTTGTTCCGAACAAGTGTTTTTCCAATAAAACACACACTATTACACATCATTCAGCGCCTCATTCGGTAGAGTCTGAGACTCGCACCTTGCTTCCAGCAAAGTTGAAACAGAACGAATAAAGAATATGTTACAAAAGTAATTAATATCAAAATACGCATACTCTGCTCCAAATTTCTTCACATAACGCAGTATAAAAGGTACAAAGTAGCTCAATATAAAACTATACTATACAATAAGCCGACACGGCCTTCCTGACGTATCACACGTCCTCGGGTGTGACTGAAAGAAATCAAAAGCTTAGAAATTCTTTGTAAAATTTAAAAAGTTCATTGGAACAATTATCTAATATAAATATGTTCAAGGATCCATCTCCGTGACAGATCAAAAGACTTGACATCGTTGTGCACCATGGCCAAACAATTACATGTATTCTGAAAGTAGTTCCCATAAGTTACTCATACTTAACAAACCATAATTTTTATAATTTCACAATTAAGGCTCTTGCTACAGTTTGTAACGATATCGTGCTCCACATGAACACCACACGTAGACCCCCGCCACATCCCTAAGCGCCCCTCACGCCATGATAAAACATTTCTGTTTGCATTTGTGCTTGCACAAAGTGACTGTGGTGTGGTCTACAGCCTTAAACTTATCTGAAGTCTGATTCAACGCCTTCACTGTTAACACTTTCACTAGTGCCAACTGCGTCTTATGTCCAACTCTATGGGAACTTTTCCTTCTGGCAATTTTCGTAAATGTTCATGTGAATATTTGCACGTTCTTTTACTCGTCAATGATTTCAAAATATACCTGTTTCCGTCTAAAACCTCTGTCACCAAAAATGGACCTCTAAACTTAGGATCCAACTTCGATCTTCTCTTCATTTCTAAGCAAAACGTATTCACCAACATTATGTTTAACAATTTTAGCTTTGTTTTTATCAAATCTAGATTTTTCATAACAAGCATGGCGTTCCATATTTTCCAAAGCTCGAGTTCTTACAAATGAAATATTTACAGTGTTTTCTTCATCATTAATTGGAATAAGCCCTGGTGGACGTGCCTCTTTGCCAATAAATAACTCTAAAGGACTAGCCTTAGTCGCCCGATTAGCCGTGGAATTCAAAGCCAATTGTGTTTCACATAATGCATCTTGCCAAGACCGTTTACTGTTTTCAACAGCGGTCAGAAGATTTTTCAACGTACTCATTATATGCTCAACTTGACCTTTAGCGCGACTTGCACCGGTAGCAAGTAAATGCAAATCTATTTTTTGTGAAGTAAAAAAATCACGAAAATCTTTACTAGCGAAACATCTACCCTAGTCAGCAATTACGCGCGATGGTACACCAAACACCGATATCGAGGACTTCAAAGCTCTAATGCAATTAACTAAATCAATAATAACAGTGTGATGTAAATAAACAAACTTAAACTATTACGTATTCTTTCAGGTCATTTTTACCACTTAGTTTTACTGTTATATCAATATGAATAGCATGCCAAGGTAAGGCGGCCTTGGGTATAGGGTGAAGCTCTGCTTGTATTTTACCAGACGGCGATTTTGTTAGCTTACAGGTAATACAAATTTCTACAAATTTGCGAACATATTTGGACATATGTTTTAACCAATAATAGTCATACACTTTGTCTAACGTTTTATCCCAGCCCAAATGCATAACAGCTTCGTGCACAGGGTTTATAACTGACCACCTGAAAGACCGTGGTACCACAGGTAAGCATCGCGTCTTTCCATTTCATTGTATCTTACGGTAGAGTGTTCCCGCTCGTAATTCATACGTTCTTGCTAGATCATCAGATAGTTTATTACTTTGTAATTTAGAAACAAGAGTAGTGATATGAGAATCCCTTTGTTGTTCGGCGAGGAGCCAATTGTCAGACATTTCTGCTAAATTTATACGTTTTTCAACAGTTTTATTCTTTTGATTATTCTCTGTTGGTAACAAATTATGCGAAAAAAATCCACATGCGCCATTCTCTTCCCCTCTCTATACTCAACATCAAAATCAAAAGATTGTAAATATGCCCACCACCGGTGAACTCTTGGAGTCAAATCTATTTTAGTGCGGGAAGCCTTTACGGAGTTGCAGTCTGTCAAGATGTTGCCTGAGCATAAGTACGCAGCGCGGCAATGAAATAAGCCGTCGTGATTCACCTGAGTACGCTCGCATCTGGCACGACCTAGCTCCTCGGATTGGGGTGGGTTTTTGGTGATCACCTTAGATGTAAAATTGCACCGCGTCAACAATAAAAAGAATCGTACCCCTTCACGTGACGATGGATCTCCACCACCATCGCTATCCCACCTGGCCTTGTGTTCAACAACTGTTTCAGTCCCCTAAACACCACAAAGTGCCGAGCCTGCAACTAATGTCGAAAATTTTTTATTGAATTTTCCACGGCCCTACGTTTCTAATTCATACAAGAGATACCTAGATTCAGCGTGCGAAGTTC